AATAAGTCTTTCAGGGGGCAGCTGACCCAAACTTGTAGGGGGCTCTTCGAACTTAGAAGTGGGCTACTTCACATCTTATGTTCTCAGTTTGGGGGCTTAGGTATAATTTCAAAACACGAGGAAAAATCCCACTCAACATCTTGTGTATCAGGTTTGAGTTGGATCAAAAAGCAATTCATATAGATGATATGAACTTGACATTTTGGATAAATTCAGGAATGTGAGTAATATATGCAAGGTATATTGAGGGACATATGAACACCCACAAAGAGATGGAAAATTAATCTGTGAAGGGTAACTGAAAGTGAAGAAAACCTGGAGGCAGCTAGACAACTGAGAAGCTACTTCACTATTTCAGATATGCAGTGGTGATTAAAAGGAAGAGACAGATGAAGAAAAAAGAAAAACAAAGAATTTGGTAGCCATAAAATGTTTTCAGGTCCTAAATCACAAAACGCTTTAATCCTTTTTAGAAAAGGCAAGGTATTGAGAGGTTTTAAAAAAAATGTAGATGTTATTATTGATACAGAGACAGAGTCACATTCACCACAAATAACTAGGAGTTATTTATAGGGCTACATATTGAGCACCCATAATAATATAGCCCTGAATGGGCCATAAGTTGGTAGTGAAATTATATAGACAGATATATTTCCTTTTTTTTCCCACCAGTGGCTGGACTGGTTTATTAAAGAAGGAATTTGAAATCGTTTTTTCCCCCTTCATGTCCATATAAAAGTGAAATCTGGCATGCGAATTGATTTTCTATGTAACTTATTTTGTTACTCATTTCTAAGCAATAGAAATTAAAGGTAAAAGAAAATCTAGTAATTTTTTGAGTAAAAATTTGCTTGGGAAGAATTATTTCCTAACTCAAGTTCAACGACCATAGTAGAAGTCAATTTTTAAAAACCAGCAAAACAATTAAGAAAATCTGGGAAACTGAGGTGTTGGTTCTTTGAAAAGATCTATACAGTTGATGAAATTTTAGTAAAATGACCAAGAAAAAAAAGAGAAGAGATACAAATTGCCAAAATTAGGAATGAAAGAGGAAACATTTGAAGCCTACTGAAATTAAAAGGAATATAAAGAAATATTATGAACAACCTCATGCCAATAATTTGACAACTTTGTTGAAATGGGCAAATTTGTATAAATGATAAAACTGACTCAAAGAGAAATATAAAATCTGAATAGACCTTTATCAAATAAAGACATTAAATTAGTTAATTTAGATATTTAAAAATCTTTCTAGCCCGGCCAGCATGGCTCAGTGGTTGAGCATTGACCTATGAACCAGGGGGTCATGGTTTGATTCCAGTCAGGGGCACATGCCAGGGTTGTGGGCTTGATCCCAGTAGGGGGCATATAGGAGGCAGCTGATCGGTAATTCCCTCTCATCATTGATGTTTCTATCTCTCTCTCTCCCTCTCCCTTCCTCTCTGAAATCAATAAAAAAAAAAACTATTTAAAAAAATCTTTCTACAAAGGAAAGCCCATGCCCAGATGACTTTCTTTATTGGTGAATTCTATCAACATTTAAGGAATTAGTAATACTAATCAAACACAAACCCTTTCAAAAATAGAAGAGAAAGGACCATTTTCAAGCTCATTTTACCCTGATACCAAAGCTGTAGACAAAGATAGCACAAGAAACTACAGACCAATACCCTTCATGACTATAAATGCTAAAATTCTTAAAGTAATAGCAATTGGATCCAGTAATGTATAGAAAGGATTATACATCACAACCAAGTGGAGTTTATCCAGGAATGCAGGTTAGCTAACATCCTATCTAATAAAGCCCTAATATGCAAATCAACAGAACAGCAGAATGACAGGTAGCTAAGATGTGCACTGACCACCAGGGAGCAGACGTTCAATGCAGGAGCTGCCCCCTGGTAGTCAGTGCGCTCCCACAGTGGGAGTGCGGCTCAGCCAAGCAGGGCTCACGGCTGGTGAGTGCAGCGGCGGTGGGGGGAGCCTCTCCCGCCGCTACGGCAGTGCTAAGGACCCCTCGGGGTCCCGGACTGCGAATTACGAGAGGGTGCAGGCTGGGTTGAGGGACCCCCCCCCCCCGCACCCCTCCCCCAGTGCCAGCAGTCCCAGATTGTGAGAGGGATGTCCCCCGAGGGGTCTCAGATTGGAGAGGGTGCAGGCTGGGTTGAGGGACCCCCCCCCCCCGCACCCCTCCCCCAGTGCATGAATGTAGTGCACCGGGCCTCTAGTCTGAATATAAATTGATGTAATAAACATATTAGTAGACTAAAGCAGGGCTCAGCAAACTACAGCCCATAGGCCAAATATGACATGCCTTTTGGTTTTGTAAGTTTTATTAAAGCATAATCATGTCCCATGTTGTCTATAATTGTTTTCATGCTACAATAGAGTTGATTGGTTGCAAGAGAGAGATCATACAACTCATAAAACCAAAAAATATTTATTATATCGCCCCCTCTGGAAAATGTTGCTGACCCCTGGAATAAAGTAGAAAGCTATATGATCATCTCAATAGATGTAGAAAAAGCATTTGATAAAATCTAAAAATCATACATGATCAAGCTCTCCACAAACTAGGAATAGAAGGAAACTTCTACATAAAACCTACAACTATCATCAAACTTAAAGATCAAAGACAATGCTTTCCCTCTAACATTGGGTATAAAACAAGGATGTCCACTCTCACCACTTCTATTCAACATTGAACTGGAGCTTCTATCCAGTGCAATAAGGCACAAAATGAGTATAAAATCAATACACAACCAACTAGAGATGAAGAAAACAATTACATTCACAACAGCATAAAAAATATTCAGGAATACATTTAACAATAGAAGTGTAGAACTGTTCACTGGTAATTACAAAACATTGTCAAGAAAAAGACAATGTTCTAGAACTGGATAATAGTGATGGTTACACAACTTTATAAATTTATTAAAAGGCACAGAATTTTACATTTAACTGTATACTTATGATATGTAAATCAAATTTCAATAAAGCTTTTTAAAATTTTTATAAAAAAGATTGCTTTCTGCTGAAAACACACTCTCCATATACTGTTTGCATTGCTGTCACAGAGGACTGTCATATCCCTTTCTTTATATTACTAATTCAGATTGGATTAACTGGTCCTGCGTGAAATCAACACTAACTGGATTTATTTCTCTGCCTCTTTTATCAGCCTTTGTTTATGCCCATACTTAGCTTTACCAGTTAGACCCTTCTCAAAGTGTGGTTCAGGGACTGAATCAGAGAATCTGCTAGGTTAATACACTTTTCATAATAATTCTAAGACAATATTTACCTTTTCACTTTAATCTCTCATGAATACACAATGAAGCTTTCTAGAGCCTTTATGACCCGTGCATCACAATAGATTGGAAGCAGAAGCAGACATGAGAATCCAACTGTTTGTTTGTTTTTAATTAGGCCAGACATTAGATTCACAATGCTACTCTTCTAATTTGGGGGAAAACATAGTTTTACTATGAAAATATGTTATGTGAATATGTAAACGATTTATATCGATATCTTAAACTACTTGACAACTAAATATTTTTTAAAGTCCTCAGTTTTTATTTATAATACAGCAAATATTGATAAAGCCACATAAATAAAAGCTCTTTGTACTCTTCAATTGTTTTTGGGGGAATAAAGTTTCTTGAGAGAGAAAAATTTGAGAACCACTGCCCTTGTGTAGGAGTTAGAAATAGAATTGGGGCAGGTCTTCTTTCAGAGATAACTTGTCTTGGTTAAAAATATAATCTGCTTCAAGATAAATGTATAGCTTTTAGTTAGGACATCATTTAGAAATGTAGCAAATGTGAATACAAGATTTTTTTTTTCTTTTTCCTTGGTGAGTTTTGGTAAGAGTTTTAAAAGAGGTGAGGAAGGTATGACTACATAAAGGCGATCTGACCTGATTTTCAGAGTCAAGAGAATACTTCTCTGAGGATGTGCCAGTTGAGCTTAAAATGAAAGATGAGCTGAAGGAGAACTAGTGCTGGGGGCACATCCGAAGGCCTTCGAGGTAAGAGAGAGGATGATGAGAAGCCCACAGGGGCCGAGCCACGATGGTGACTAGTAGTAGCACTACAGTCCAAACTATTTGGGGCTTTATAGACTTTGCCGAATGCATTAAACCTTTACCAGGTGCCCAATGGGGAGCCATGGAAAATTGTAGGAGAGGGGGATGTGACAGAACTAGATTTGTATTTTTTAAAATATATTTTTATTAATTTCAGAGAGGAAGGGAGAGGGAGAGAGAGATAGAAACATCAATGATGAGAGAATCATTGATTGGCTGCCTCCTGCACGCTCCCCACTGGGGATGGAGCCCCCAACCAGGGCATGTGCCCTTGACCGGAATTGAACCTGGGACCCTTTAGTCCGCAGGTCGACACTCTATCCACTGAGCCAAACCGGCTAGGGCTAGATTTATATTTTTGTAAGATCCCTGGGAGCTGGAGTCTAGGAGATCAGAGTGAAAAAAAGCAGGGAGACTATTTACAGGGCTACGGCATTATCCAGGTAAAAGACAGAACCTTGGAACACAGCAAAGGCAAGGGAACCGAAAGAAGTGGGTGAATCCGAGATGGATTGTGCAGGTCGGGCCTCCAGGACTGGTGATTACAGTTCAACTAGCACAATCGCACCAAGTCGAACCCTCTTCCCAGCTAGGAAATCAACTAATGGGGTTATTGCGAAGTTGCAAAATCCGTCCCCGCCCCCTTTTCTCCTTGGCATAGAATCAAAGGCCCCCGGTGATCCCGAGGGTCTACGGTGTGTCCTGGCAGCACAAACAAACCGCGTACGAGGCTGGGTCCTCCAGACCGTGTAAGGGACTCACGCGACTTTATCCCCCGGAGGTCGGTGGCACAGAACCACGCAGTTTCCCGGGCAACGCCATTGTCCGCGCTCTGGGCGGGGGAGGGGTAACTAAGAACAACGGCCATAAGAGAACGCGGGAAGAAAAGGCGAGTCAGAGAAAAAAGGAGAAAATGGGCGGCACGTGCGGCGGCCCCCGCCATCGCGGGTGATTCGAGGACTCGGCACAAGGCGAGAGTGGAGGGCGGGCGGAGCCAGAGAGCGCGCCTCTGATTGGCGGCGCCGGGGTCCTGGGCCGCCTGTGATTGGGCGAGGCCTCACAGAGGCCTGCTGTTTTTTGAACCGCGTAGGGTTCTGGGTAGCAAAGGCCTTGGAAGGGTCTTAACCGAAAGAGGGAGGGGGCAGGTCGCCAACAAACGGCTGAGATCACAATCCGTCTGGGACCAGGCCGGGGCGTTCCCCTACGTCCATGGAGAGAGCCAGGCCCCAGCCCTCGC